GGGGGGGGCCCGGCTGGCTCGTCAGCGCCCCCCAGCCCAGAGCAGGGTGCAGGAGGCCGTCACTCACACTGGCGGTGCGGCCGGGTCACTGACGTCAACACCAGCCCAGAGCCGTCTGGGGGGCTCGGGGCTCCCCTGGGGGCCGGGGTGGGGCCCAGAGCCAGACAGGGCAGGGTCCGGCTGCGGGGGAAGAGAGGCGAGCACAGGCGGCTCAAATCTGCCCCCGGGAGGGGCAGCCCGGCTCTGTGCGGGGGGGAATAAGCCCCAATGGGGGAGAGACGAGGCAGAACCAGGGGGGATATTGGCCCCACGGGCGGTGGGGGGGTCAGAGCCTCGCTGGACCACGCAGCGGGGGTCTCGGGGTCCCAGGGCAGCAGCGCCTGTCGCCCCCCAGTGGCCAGCTCGGGGTAGCACTGCCTCGGCCGGGCCTCAATCCTCCAGCACGGGTTCTGCGGGCCTTCTGGGGCGCTCCGGCTCTGGAGGAAAGAGGGGGAGCAGAGCAGCTGGCGGAGAGGAAGAGGGGGAGAGGGCACTGCTGACCGGGGGGGAGAGACAAGAGGGCGGCGCCGGGGAGGTAGGTGAGAGGTGCAGGATGGGAAGGGAGGGGTGGAGCGACAGCACAGCCAGAGGACAGGAGACAGGGAGAGAGATGGAGAGCGTTAGTGTCTGGAGACGGACGGGGGTTGTGTACGGCACAGTCTCACAGCGCCCACAGGAAGCGAAAGGAAAGGATTCTGCAGGCTCTCCGGGGCAGCAGAGGTGTCCTCCGAGAGGGCCTGCGTGTGCCGAGGGTCGGGGGGGTGGAAGAGGGAGAGAGATTGGCGGCGAGCACAGCCATACCTGCAGGCTCAGTCAGGCTGGGAGACAGGCCACGGCCCTGCGCACTCACTTCCTGTACTGCTGCCGCACTGCCATGGGCTCACAGCCCAGACACACCCCTCCTGGCCTTAAAGATACAGGCACCTCCTGCTGTCAGACTGCACACACTGATACACACCACACCACACACATACACTTACACACACAACAACACACTGTGAGGCTCAGACACACACACACACAACACCACACCGACACATACACAATAACACACTGAGAGGCACTGACACACGCACAACACCATACTGACACACACAATAACACACACAACGCCACACTGACACACACTAACTCACACAACACCACACTGACACACACTAACTCACACAACACCACACTGACTCACACAACGCCACACTGACTCACACAACGCCACACTGACTCAAACAACACCACATTGACTCACACACACAGTAACACACTGAGAGGCTCAGACACACACACTGACACACACAACATCACACTGAGACGCTCACTGACACACACAACACCAGCCTGAGAGGCTAAGACACACACAAACACACACCGACAAGCACAGTGACAGACATACACAGTAACACACCAACGCGCTATCTCATAGATACACACACAGACACTCATACTGTGACACATAATCACACATTGATAAGACACACACCACTGCACCGCACACTGTCAGATATAAGAACGCCGTCACACCGACACACACAGAAACAATGATACGCACTTGATCACGTGTGCAGAGATACACAACAACACACCCACATGCACAGTCACACACACAACGACACACTCAGGTACGCTGACAGAGACACAGGCACATATGGGGTGGGGTGCCCAGCCCTGTTCGGTGGGAGAGGAACAGGTTCTGCACACCAGAGTGAAGACAGAGCGTGTGGTGACTGACAACTGATGAGAGGGGGAGGTGAGAGAGAAGGAGAGAGACGGGCAGTGAGGACAGCGTGAAGGGGGCGGGGCTCTCCAGCCAGCTCATTAATATTTAATGAGGCAGCGCTGACATCATCAAGCACAGTGCTGTCAGCATTCCAGAGCTGCAGCCCATGACTGCTGGCCCTGCCTGCCTGCTGTGTGTCTGTGAGAGTCCAGACTCTGTTGTAACTCTGTTGTGAAGATGCTTTGAGCCTTTCTCTTTTAACAATGCCTCCCCATGTGGCTGCCACCTTTAATACCCCAGTGGTCACCCACCCCCGCAGATCTGGAATTTGGGTCTCAAGCTCTTACCTGTGGCTCGGCGCTCCCAGTTCCTGGCCCCATCTGCATGCCCCCTCTTCTCCTGTTCCTCTGCGGCCCTCTTACCCCCTGGGGCCAGGAGCAGACTGTCGCTGCTTGGACTGATGCTCCAAGGAGGGGTGCCGGGCTCCGGCTCCACGGAGCCTTCTGCGATTGGCTGCAAGGCCCCAGGACGGATGTGCCTCCCAGCCAATGAGGAGGGAGCCTGGGACTGTAAGTAGAAAGTGGGCGGGAGCTGTGCTGGTGGGAGGGGACAGGGCTCTGCGCAGGGCTGCGATTGGCTGTCGGTCTGTCCCGCTTCGCTGCAGGGGAGGGCAGGGTCGGGACCTCGTGGTGCCGGCTCTGCAGATCTCGGACCCGGCTGGACCTGGCACGGCTGGTTCTGGTTCTGATTCTGCTTGCTGCGGTTCCTCAGCTCCTTGAAGGTGGTGACCTTCGACCCTGCCTGCTTCTGGGGGCTCTGTTCCCACGGGGTGCTCCCGAAGGGCTGGGGCGGCACCTCCGCGTCCGGGGAGAAGACGATCAGCCAGTCGGAGCGATCCGGGCGGGGCGCCGGCGGGAGCGGCAGGGTGCTG